GCATATGATGGCATATATCACATTGGTAGATGTGCAGGTGAACGAGCCTCTGATAGTGTGGCTGATGTGATTAGGCCCTATGATGGTGTCCCCTGAATAGATATGTGGACACAATTGGCAACGGGCTTTGTTGCAGGGGTTGGTTCCTGGGTTAGTGGTTCTGTTGTGTGGTGTGTGGTTGCTGGTGAGTATTTGCTTCAGGTTGGGGGGCTGTCTGTAAGCAAGGACTGGCCTGTCTCCCAAGATCTGTGAGAGTGATGGGTCGTCCTTCAGGATAGGCTGCAGATCCTTGATGATGCGTTGGAGAGGTTTTAGTTGGAGGCTGAAGGTGATGGCTAGTGGCGTTCTGTTATTTTATTTGTTGGGCCTGTCCTGTAGTAGGTGACTTCTGGGTACTCTTCTGGCTCTGTAAATCTGTTTCTTCACTTCCCCAGGTGGGTATTGTAGTTGTAAGAATGCTTGATAGAGATCTTGTAGGTGTTTGTCTCTGTCTGAGGGGTTGGAGTAAATGCGGTTGTATCGTAGAGCTTGGCTGTAGACAATGGATCGTGTGGTGTGGTCTGGATGAAAGCTGGAGGCATGTAGGTAGGAATAGCGGTCAGTAGGTTTCTGGTATAGGGTGGTGTTTATGTGACCATCCTTTATTAGCACCATAGTGTCCAGGAAGTGGATCTCTTGTGTGGACTGGTCCAGGCTGAGGTTGTTGTTAGGATGGAAACTGTTGAAATCCTGGTGGAATTCCTCAAGGGCTTCTTTTCCACGGGTCCAGATGATGAAGATGTCATCAATGTAGCGCAAGTAGAGTAGGGGCATTAGGGGACGAGAGCTGAGGAAGCGTTGTTCTAAGTCAGCCATAAAAATGTTGGCATAGTGTGGGGCCATGCGGGTACCCATAGCAGTGCCGTTGATTTGAAGGTATACATTGCCTCCAAATGTGAAATAGTTATGGGTGAGGACAAAGTCACAAAGTTCAGCCACCAGGTTTGCCGTGACATTATCGGGGATAGTGTTCTTGACGGCTTGTAGTCCATCTTTGTGTGGAATGTTGGTGTAGAGGGCTTCTACATCCATAGTGGCCAGGCTGGTGTTTTCAGGAAGATCACCGATGGATTGTAGTTTCCTCAGGAAGTCAGTGGTGTCTCGAAGATAGCTGGGAGTGCTGGTAGCGTAGGGCCTGAGGAGGGAGTCTACATAGCCAAACAATCCTGCTGTCAGGTTGTCGATGCCTGAGATGATGGGGCGTCCCGGATTTCCAGGTTTATGGATCTTGGGTAGCAGATAGAATACCCCAGGTCGGGGTTCCAGGGGTGTGTCTGTGTGGATTTGTTCTTGTGCTTTTTCAGGGAGTTTCTTGAGCAAATGCTGTAGTTTCTTTTGGTAACCCTCAGTGGGATCAGAGGGTAATGGCTTGTGGAAAGTGGTGTTGGAGAGCTGCCTAGCAGCCTCTTGTTCATATTCCGACCTATTCATGATGACGACAGCACCTCCTTTGTCAGCCTTTTTGATTATGATGTCAGAGTTGTTTCTGAGGCTGTGGATGGCATTGATCATAGAAATCTCAGATGTTGTGACTTTTCGGGACCTCCATGACTTCTCCTGCGGCTGGTGTGGCAGGCTCGGGGCCCGCCTAAGCAGCTTGGGTGGCCCCCTGGGCCAGCCGCACTGGCCACTACTGGGGCAGTCTCAGTCCACTGCCGCGCCCCCCCCCCAGCAGCAGGAGGAGTTTGGGTTTAGGAGGGGGCTCAGGGATGGGGAATGGGGCACGGGAGGGGATGAAGGCTCTGGAAGGTGCTTACTTTGGGGAGGGGGGGGACTCCCTGGAAGCGGCAACATCTGCTCCTAGGTGGAGGCGTGGCCTGGCCAATGGGAGCTGCAGACATGGTCGGTGGAGGCAGTGCACAGAGCCGCCTGGCCACGACTCCACCTTGGATCTGAGGGAGGGGAATGTCTCCGCTTTCAGGGAAGCGTGGTACAAGATAGGGAGCCTGCCAGCCCCACCAACTGTCCTGACTCAGCACCACTGGGAGTCCTGGGCCATGCGGTGCTGCCCACCCCCCCACCCCCCCAGCAGCAGCGGGGATCCCGGGCCACCCCCCCCATCATCTACATCACCCCCTGGGCCATCCCCCCAGCGCCCATGTTGGCCCCAGGCTGCCCCCTCCCAAGATTTAGACAGGGGTATAGAGCAGAAGTTGTGAATTTTTCTTTATTGCCCATGACCTGTCCATGACTTTTACTAACAATAGCCATGACTAAAACGTAGCCTTGATGATAAATTGGAGGGTTCAGAGAAGAGCCATGAGAATAATTAAAGGATTAGAAAACATGCCTTATAGTGATAGAGCTCAACCTATATGGCTTAACAAAGAGAAGGTTAAGGGGTGACTTGATCACAGTCTATAAGTACCTAAGTGGGGAACAAATATTTAATAATGGTCACTTCAGTCTTGCAGAGAAATGCATAATATGGCCCAATGGCTGGAAATTAAAACTAGACAAATTCAGACTGGAAATAAGATGTAAATTTTTAACCAGGAGGGTAATTAACCAGTGGAACAGTTTACTAAGGATTGTGGTGGATTCTCCATTACTGGCAATTTTAAAATCAAGATTGGATGGTTTTCTAAAAGCTCTGCTCTAGGAATTAATTTGGGGATGTTCTCTGGCCTGTGTTACACAGGATGTCAGGCTGGATGATCACAATGGTCCCTGCTGGCGTTGGACTCTCCGAATGTATGACCCAGATGGGAATGCTGACTTTGTGACTCTAGGGGTGTGTTAACTCGAGTGACCCCTGCCCCACCCAATTACATCCCTGGGATGAGCCAATCATGAGGGAGAGGGGCCATGCTGCAGACCATCCAGTTGCCATAACACCTGGCAGCTGCGCTGCTGCCACACGTATTGTGCAGACATCTGGGAGCACATCTCATGGGTCCTACTGCCGCAGTAAGCAGAGTCGCTCTGTGAACACTGCGGGAGAGCTCGGCTCTCCTTTCTGGCCCCCCCGCCCACCAGTGGTGTTAGCTCAGCAAATGAATTCAGGCAAATGAATTGGGTCTGGTGCGGCATACTCCAGATTTCAGTGCGCAGCCTTTCTTCCAACCAGTGGTGAGGCATGGATCCAACACAGAACAGGACCTGTGTCAAACACTGTCCTTAGTGCAGAGGTCCGTTGAGAGAAATTTGGGGCTCCAGTACATCATCTTTGCTGTGGCGCCTCTCTCCCATTTCTCCCCAGGTACAGACATTTTGGAGGGTCCCTGAACTCGGGTTCCCAGTACAATTGTCCCCCTCCCTTGTCAGCCCTTTCAGGTAACTCTCATTTTGGCTAGAAGAGGCTGGTGCAGGCCACAGGAGGTGGTGGGGCACATGTTGGCAGCAGCCTGTTGCTGTGAGAAAGCCGTACGTGCTTTGCTAAGGAGCGTGCACTCACCTCGTACAGAGCCGGAGCAGCGGTGGCAGCTGGGGCATCAATAGGTGATGAACCCCCATGCTGGCCAGTGGTTCTGGACGCTGGTCAGAGAGACTGTGGGGAGGGCTCATCCTATGTCAGGAAGCTCACCAGGTCCAGGCGCCCTTCAGCTACAGAGAATACCTCCTTCTCTGCATGGACAGTTATTTCTGCTCTTTAGAGTGATGACCCTTGAGGCAGCAGTACGGTTTGCTGTCCTGATCTCACTGGAGCAAGGCAGGCAGTATCTGGGTCAATCCCTCCCTATCGAAAACAGGCAGGGGTCTGGATCCTGAAATTCCAAAATTAGTGGGATTTTTGCAGAGATCTGGCATCAGGTCAGCAGGGTGAACAGGTGAAATATGGTAGGACTAGTGCCCGCTAGTGGCTCACACACTCATGGAGTTGGGAACATTAGACGTACACAACACTAGAGAGGCCGTTACTGAATAGTGCACCCAGTTCTGGAGTCCCCATCGCAACATGGGATTTGAAATGGGGGAAAGGGCTCTAGGAAAATGCACCAGAAAAATCTGAGGTCAGGAAAACTGCCTGTACAGTGAGATTAATGGACCTCAGTCTGTTTAGTTGCTCGAAGAGAACGTTAAGGATGACTGAATCAAGATCTAGAAGTACCTATGTGAGGAAAAAGTCTCTGATTTTAGAGGGTCTTTAATCAGGCATAATGAGATCCAATGGCTGGAAGCTGAAATGAGTCATTCAAACTGGCAATAAACTTGGGCCTGACTGGGGGATGCTCTTCAGGAACAGGGCTCCGTGGGGTACTGGGGCCTGGCCAGGGAGTGCCCTGCAGGAACAGGGCTCCTTTGGGCACTAGGGCCTGTCTGGGGGATGGATGCTCTGCAGGAATGTGGCTCTGTGGGCAGATTGCATTGGAGGGAGAGTTGGTGACCTGGGGTGGTGGGGGAAAGATTTCTTTCATTACAGTTTAAAACACTTTGGTGTGGGTTTGTTTTTGCCAACTTCTATTTACTTCAAAGAAAATTCGGCGCTTGGGAGCAGAACTCTCCTCGGGAAAGATCCCCCTTCCCCCTGCAATGGCAGGCTGAGGGAGCCTGCAGCTTGGAGCCCTCCAAGGAGCTCGCTAGTGCCCAGAGGGCTGGGTGTCCTGTGTATGGCTGAGTTAAAACAAGCAGAAAAGAGTAAAAAAATAACCCCCAACAACAACCAAAAGCAGCCCCCTATGTGGCAGAGATCCCCAGAGCCCCCACCTCTATATTCGAGAGCCCCCCACTCCCTCTGTGCTCCAGTACCCACACCTGCATTGCACAGCCCCCATCCCCTTCAGCGCTCCCCAGAGCCTCCATCTCTGTATTCCAGAGCCCCCACCTCATATTCCAGAGCCCCCACCCCGTCTATGCTCCCCGGAGCCCCACCCACATTCCAGAGTCCCCTCGTGCGCTCCCTAGAGCCCCCACGTGTATTCCACAGATCCACCCCCAGCGCTCCCCAAAGCCCGCCCCCTCCAGAGCCCCCACCCCCTATTCTAGAGCCCCCGCTCCCACGGAAGGGCAGTAGCCTGGCGCTCACTGCCCCCCTCCCCCTCCTCGTGTGGTGTTTGGCCTCGGGAACGGCCCGTTGCTCGGCCGGGGGCGGACGCATCACTCTGGCGGGCTCTTCCCAGCTCGGACCCCGGGGAACGAAGCCAAGTGGCGAGCTCGCGCGAGCTCCGGGGCCAGGAAACTACAGCTCCCAGCAGCTCCTGCTCTGGCTCCGGCTGGGGGCCGAGCCCGGCCGAGTTTGGGGAAAGCATTCCTGGAATTCGTTTCCTGTGGCCTCCTGCCCGAGGCCGAGCCGCGGGATGGCGGGGCAGCAGCGGGCGGACGTCGGCGGGCGACCCCTGGGCAGCGGGGGCAGCCTGGCAGCGTGAGGAGCCCCCCCGTCCCGCCGGTCTTGTGCGCCATGGCCGAGCTCCTGCTGCGGAGGACGTTCTCCAGGCTGCGGGGCAAAGAGAAGCTTCCCGGGAAGAAGTCGGATGCGAAGGAGCGAGGTACGCTCGGGGCGCGGGCGGGGCAGGGATGCGCGGCTCAGAGCACCGGGGGAGCGCCCAAGTGGAACCGTCCTGAGGCTGAGGAGCGCGGGGCGGCTGGTCCGGCGTCGCGGCCGGGGCTGCCCGCCGCGGATCCGGGCTGCAGGAGCCCCGGGGCGAGAAGGGGCTCCCGGGCAGGGCGGGTTGGGGCGCCGCTGCAGCCGGGGACTTGGCTCTCAGCGCAGAAGGGCCCGGCCCGAGGATGCTCGGGGGGAGCGGAGCGCCCCGCCGAGCAGGGGCTGAGCCAGCGGGGCTCCGAGGGGGGCTAGCGCCCTTCGCGCGCCCCGTCCCGTCCCGTCCCGTCCCGGCCAGTCCTCGTCGGGCCGCCCGGAGCTGGGGCTGCAGGGCCCCCCCGCCATTGGGGGCGCCAGGGGAGCTGGGATCGGAGGGGCAGGGGGGCGGCGCTGAGCCCCACCAGTCGCCTCGCTCCTAAAAAGGCAGAAGGAGGGAAGGAAAGAATGCGGGGGGAGGGCTGGGAGGGGAAGGGGCAGGAGCCAACCAGCGCCCCCACAGCCGCCCGCCGGGGCAAGAGGACTAGACTGCCCGGGGACTCCGGCTTCCCTGGGCAAACCCAGACCCTTCCCACCCCAGCGGGGAGGGCTCAGACCTAGCCGCTCCCCGCCACCCAGCTGCCCTGCAATCCCCAGCACGGGGCAGTGCGAGCTGCCTCCTCCCAGCTGCGCCGGGGTTCGGTTGTGGTTTGTTTTAGCACAGACTCCAGCACCGACCGTGGCCCGTCAGGATCCCAGTGTGTGTGTCTGGGCTGCTATGGGCTGGCAGGTCTCTGTGCGCTGTGGCCTGGGGAGTGAGTGGGTAAGGAGGGGGATGAGTGGGTTTTGTCTGGGAGCTGTTGGGGGCTCTGGGTGTGAGTGCCAAGGGGGTTCTGGGGGACGTGGCCCAGCAGTGCTGGAGGCACTGAGCAAAGGTTGGGTGGTGGGGGCTGAGCGGGTGGGTGGAGGAGGGGACCTAGTGGAGGGATGGGGAGGCAAATAGCCAGGCCAAATCTCCCAGTGTGACAGAAGTCTTGTGTAACCCAGGACCTCTGGAGCTTAGTGCATGAACCTCTACTGTGTGAGCTAAAAGCCAACTGGATGTTAGCTAAGGCTGTAGAGCAGACTCATTAATCTCTCTCGCTAAGTGGTCTCAGTGCCACTGGATGGGACAGAAGACCACACCCAGGAGGTGTGTGGGTTACATACTTCCCCTAGCTGAGGAAGCACATCCCAAACTTCAGAGGCTTCCCAGCTGGAATCCTGGATGAGCCCCCGCTTGTAACGCCAACAGACCCCTGTCGTCGGCAGGCAGGATTGAATTGGGGACCTCTCTCTGAGTGGTCTTGGTGCCACTAGATGGGACAGAACACCACACCCAGAAGGTGTGTGGGTTACACTTGTACTATGCTGAGTGTCCCAAAGCCTCAGCTCCTGGAGTCCTGGGATTTGGGAAAATTGGCAGCTTTCATTACAAAAACAGGGAGTTTCTGGCCCTGGTGGTGGGGGAGAAAGGCTGGAACCATGACCCCAAATGGACCCAACTCCAGGAGGCAAATGTTCCACCCCTGCACTGGCTGGCTGAGATGCTGCCATCAGTTTGGAGCCGATCTCGTAGTTTTGGGGCCAAACTCACTAAGCTTTGAGCGCTGGGGTTTGGGATGCTGTGGGACAATGAGCTTGTTGTGAATCCAGATTGGATGTTTTTGTAATAGATCTGCTCTAGGAACTATTGTGGGTCTCCGGCCTGTGTTCTACAGGAAGTCAGACTAGGTGATCACACTGGTCCCTTCTGGTCACAGACTCTCTGAATGGGGTGGGGTTGGGGTGCCAGCCTTGTGGCCAGAGTTGTGATGATTAGGGCTGGATGGGAGCACTGGCCGTGCAGGCAGGAAGCACAGGCCAGGGACTGGGAGAGGCTGCGAAGAAAGAAGCAGTGGCCGGATGGATGGGTCAGGGGAGTGGCCGGCTCAGAGACAGGGACTAGATGATGGGCTTGAGCGGCACCCCCAGACAGAGGAAAGTGTGGGAGTGGTTTAGGAGGTGGGTTTGGGCCACAGTGAGTCTCAGCTCATGGCAGCACCCTGCCAAAGGGATCCAGGAGGGCTGGGAGGGGAGTGCAGTTGGAGGGAGGCAAATCTGTGAGTCACCAGCAGAGAAGAAAGTCAAAGCAGCTGAGGCCCCCGAGAGATGGGACTAAGAATGGAGCTGGGAGGGACCCCCACCTCAAGGGGAGGAGGAGAGTTCCCTGAGGATCTATCAGAGAGGAAGGGGGAGCCAGGAGACCACAGAGCCACACCAGCCTGACAGACAGGAATCAGATAGTCATAGCTAGGGCCCTACCAAATTCACCGTCCATTTTGGTCAATTTCACAGTCATAGGATTTTAAAAATCATAAATATGATTTCAGATATTTAAATCTGAAATGTAGCAGTGTTGTATCTGTAGGGGTCCTGACCCAGGTCTGAAGGCAGCTGCACAGAAGCGAGGGTGGCGTGGTATGGGATTGCCACTCTTACTTCGGCGCTGCTGCTGGCAGGGCGCTGACTTCAGAGCTGGGTGCCTGGCCAGGAGCTGCTGCTCTCTGGCCACCCCGCTCTGAAGACAGCATAGAAGTAAGGGTGGCAATACCGTGACCCCCCTACAATAACCTTGCGACCCCCGCCCCCCATAACCCACTTTTGAGTCAGGACCCCCATTTTGAGAAACGCTGGTCTTCCCCTGTGAAATCTGTATAGTGTAGGGTGAAAGTGCACAAAAGACCAGATTTCATGGGGGAGACCAGATTTCACAGTCTGTGATGTGTTTTTCACGGCCGTGAATTTGGTCGGGCCCTAGACATAGCAGCTGTAGCTGATGGGGTTGTGCTGGACCAGGATATGTCACATGGCAATGGGGCCCAGTGCTGCCAGAGCACAAACAGCACCTGAGGCCCCCAAGGGCCATAGCCAGAGCTGAGCTCGGCTGGAGCCAGTTCTGACCCCAGACACCTGGGTATGCAGTTGGGTCACTGCAACAAAACCAATCCCCTGTGAGTTTGGGCCAGTCTGGCTCAGTAGGGAAAAGGCAAAACTCCGTCCCCTCCACTCCCCATTTGGTAGCTCTGTGGCTGAGGCTGCCCCAGGGGATTGCCCCGGCACCTGACAGATGGACTGAAACTTTGCACCCTTGATCTGAGAGGATCTGGGTGGGACAGAGTGCATGCTGCATGATGAGCTGTCGCTGCTACCGGGAGCACCTGCAGGATGTTCCAGAGGGAAAACCCATAGTGTGCACAGAGCCAGTGTGATGTGTTCTTAGTGACCAAGGAGGCTGGAGATGCTAGAAAGAATTCTTCCCCTCCACCCACAAGGATCCAGTTTCTTTAATATTCAGAGGCAGGAATTGTTCATGCCAGAGCCAGCCTCCACCAAGACTGTGAGGAGACGGCAAAGGGGTGAGAGAGTGACCCAGCAAGAAGCCTCTGACAGGAGTCCAGGACGAGTGGCTTCCTGCAGTCAGAGCAGGTGTAGGTTCCTGGTGAGTTTGTGATGGAGAACAGCCTGCAATCAATGATTTGGCAATTCCCTTTGCTAGATCAGCTCCCGGAATTGTCCTGCCCTTGCTATGCAGCCTTGTGGTTCAGCAGAAAAGGCCATGCTGACAGCCAAGGGCCAAGGAAATGCATCCATGTGGGCTGTTTGGTCCTTAGCAGGCTGCCTTCTGTGGGTGGTGATGGGAAATTGCAAATCTCCTGCAGAGTCCACCCAGGTCCAGTTGTCCACTGGTTCCATTCACTCTCTGCATGCAGCCACTGGGAGAAGGAAGATGCTCCCTGGACTGCCTGTCCTGCATGATGCAGGGAGTCCTCAGCTCTTTCCGCCCACCACAGCTCACAGGAGCAGTACGGTCCCCACCAGCCCCCTGTGTGGCCGTGAGCAGTGCATGGCTGAGGAGGGGTTGCAAAGCAGTATATGGGGCTCCCTCACCTGGAGGAGAGCTTGTGGCCATGGCATGGTTTGCCCGGCCTGAGGACAAGCACCTCTGAGGCACAGAACAGCCACGGTCTAGGCCTTCAGGGCTCCACGCTGGCACTCATCTCTGACCTAGCAGCATCCACAAGCCAGGTCTCCTGCCGCCTCCCATGGGCTGAGACTGTGTCCCGTCCTTGCTGCTGGTGCTTGGCCACATGTACCCTTGGATGCCATCCTGGTGCACAGGCAGCCCTGCAGTTGTGCATCGGGGTATCACCTCCAGTGATCCTGGCCCATGTGAGGCAACAGGGGCTGGGGCAAAGGGCCAGTCTTTTGCCTGTCCCTGTGTCCCTGCACTCTCAGCACAGGTGAGGGGGCACTCACCAGTGACTCCACGCCCCCTCCTCCGGACTCCTCTCTGTGTTCCTACAGATTAGCTCTCAGGAGAGAGGGCAGCAGGATGCAGGGCAAGCCTGGAGAAGAGCAGGGAGAGGCCACTGGGGTGAATCAATGACCATGTCCAGCCACAGAGGGAACGGACGAAGGGCCGTGGGCCAGGGAGGGAAGGTCAGACTGGGCCCTGGTAGGCAAGGGTACAATGCTGCAGAGGAGGTAGCTCTTGCACCGGGAAGGATGGAATTGGGTTAGTAGTGGAGGGTGGCTGCTCAGAAGCGCTGATGTGAGAGGCTGGCTGGCCTTGGGGACGAGGCGCTGGGCTGGGACTCTGGAGATCTGGGGGTGTCCTGCTGTTGGCAGGTTTGGGGCGCTGGCACAGTGAGGTCAGGAGGCAAGGAGCTGCCTCACGGCAGGTCACTCTCCCTGCCATTGGGGAGTGTCCCTTAGCCAGCGCCCTCTGGCCCAACCTGATCCTGGAGCCCTGCCGTTCTCAGGATCAAGTCACTGGGTCAACCCTGTGAGCGGGAGATTCGGGGCATTATTTCCTGTGCTGTCACCCCAGTCACATGGTGATGATTCTTTTCCCTGATTGACTGTTGGTCCTTGTGCCTCTGCAGGGGT